TTCATATACCGATATGAGTCATTTTGAGCTCCCCATGGAATGTAGGTGAAGGACAGAATTATTATTATTATCATCATTATCAGTTTATTATTCAAGTTTCACTGATAATAACTATCTTTCACTGGTAATTCCTATCTTTCCTATTTAAAACACAAATTACTTTTATCCCTCCGGTATAAATAGGCATTCGTCGGTAGTTCTAGTGTAAACGTTCATCAAAATGTGACTGCAAAAGTGGCTTGAACAAGTTTACGCGTTTCAGAAAAATTTCCTGTCTTCCACAAGACTTAATTTTCGACTTGAAAATGGAATCGTGCATGACGGCGAGCTGCGAGGCGGCGACGTCCTCGATGCCATCCTCACTGTTTTCTCAGCTGATTCAGATAATTTTGATGTCACAATGCGCGCTAAATAGAAGCGAGTATTATCCCGCCGATCGTACCAAAGAGATCCTCGGCGCGAACCTGGGATTCGATTTCGTGATTGCCGGGGCGGGTACCGCGGGGACAGTTTTGGCCAACAGGTTGACGGAGGTAACAGATTGGAACGTTTTACTGATCGAAGCCGGAGACGATCCCAGCCCCGAGAGCGAAGTGCCCGGTTTAATGTTCTTACTGGCCGAACATTATCAAACTTACAAGTACAAGGTAAAACAATCGACCAATACCTGGAATTAGAGAATAACCGATTAATAATTCTTGTGTTAAGACGGAGCCACAGGAAGGCGTCTGTCTAGGCTTGAAGGACAAACGCTGCAGGTGGCTCAAGGGTAAAGCATTGGGTGGAAGTTCGGTCGTCAATGCCATGTTACATATTTTTGGTAACGACAGGGACTACGACGAATGGGCGAAACTGGGTAACGACGGATGGAACTACGAAAATGTACTTCCTTACTTCAAGAAATCTTTAAACTGTGCACCGGAACACGTGGCCAGATTCGGTGACAAATATTGTGGAGTCGGGGGACCGATGAACATCAGACATTACAATTATTCACTGGCCGACATACAAAACGCGATTTTAAACGGAGCTCGTGAAATGGGAACGAACGTATTGGAACCATTGAACGGCGATCGTTTCATCGGATTCGGTAGAGCCATGGGCACCATCGACAATGGGCGTCGCGTGAACGGTGCCAAAGCTTTCTTATCTCCGATCAAAGACAGGAAGAATTTGTACGTAATGAAGTCTAGCAGAGTGGACAAGATTCTAATAGAAGGCACGCGAGCAAGGGGTGTACGAGTGACGTTAAAAGACGGTCGGTCGGTCGAGATAAAAGCGACGAAAGAAGTGATACTCTCTGCTGGCAGCATCGCCAGTCCACAGATAATGATGCTATCAGGGATCGGACAGAGGGAGCATTTAGAGGAAATGAAAATACCGGTCGTAGTCGATCTTCCTGTAGGCGAGAATCTTCAGGACCACATCATCTGGCTGGGACTGCACGTAGCTTATGTGAACGAATCTGTGACACCACCTTCGTCGACTTATGCCCTGGACATCGCGTACGATTATTTAGTACGGAACAGCGGCGAGCTGGCCACGCTCGGGAGCGATCTGATAGGTTTCCTCAATGGGACCGATCCCACTTCCAAGTACCCGGACATCCAACTAGATTTCGGTCACTTCCCACGGTGGAACGCGATGAAAATAATGGCTATTATGAAATCCTTCGCAGTTTCCGACGACGTGGTGCAATCGATGATAAAGGACATCATGGAATCGGACATGCTGATGGTCTGCGTGATTCTGCTCAGACCCGAGAGCCGTGGAAAGCTCGAGTTACGTAGCTCCGATCCAGCCGAACAGGTGAAGATCTTTCCAAATTACTTCACCCAAGGGAACGATTTAAAAACGATGCTCAAGAGCGTCGACGCGATCAAGAATTTGTTGAATACAGACGCTCTGAAACGACACGGTATGTGGCTGCAGCACCTCGACATTCCCGGATGTCGACATACTGAACCCGATTCAGAAGAGTACTGGGAGTGCAACGCGAGGCACATAACCACGTCATTGTATCACGCGGTCGGTACAGCCAAAATGGGACCGATCGGTGATCCCACGGCCGTCGTCGATCCGAGACTCAAGGTATACGGCGTCGACGGTCTTCGAGTGATCGACGCGTCGATCATGCCGAACATCATCAGCGCGAACACGAACGCGCCTACTATGATGATCGCCGAGAAGGGTGCCGATATGATTAAAGAAGATTGGAATTTAAAGGTCAAGGAAGAACTGTAGAACTGTAGAACTGTAGAACTGTAGAACTGTAGAACTGTAGAACTGTAGAACTGTAGAACGAAGTACCTTATATAGAGTAAGATTCTACTAGAATCAGAATTGCAAATCTTCAATTCGCATATAATTTACATAATTGAAACAAATTATACGAGTGATAACTGCAATAAGTGCCACATATTTAAGGCTGACGTCGAATCTGTTTTTCATATTGTATTTATGGAAATATTATACAAATGGAAATATTATACAAATGGAAATATTTCGTATATATCATAATTGTTTAATTTATTTATATATAATAATTCTATCCTACCGTTCCATCCTATTGACTTTACCACTGCAATTTGGAAGAAATTAAATGATAGGACAGACGCGAAATTATACAACTGGATACGAAAATACTTTAGAATTTCTAATAAACGAAAGCGTAATGTTTTAATAGTTAGAAAAAGAGACACGGGCAAGAAATCGCACCAGTTTCTATCGAATTTCAGGCTGAAAGCAGCCGGGAGTTTGCCACCACCGCCACTTTCGTCTAAATCGATTGTCAATGGTCCGCGAAATCAGGCAACAAAGATCGCCGATTCATTCCGCGCTCGACTCAGGCCCAATGCAGTTTCTGCATCGGCGGCTGTTTGAGTCCGTCGGGTGTTATAATTCTGTCGTGAGGAACTTAAACGCGGTGCTTTTTACTCTGTGCTCCGGAATAATTTTCAATTCAAACGTGACTTGAACATATGTGCGAAAAATTCAATTAAAAGAAGAAGAGTTCGTATCTTCACATGTTCTTCACTAAATGCAAAGACTATTTACGTTCATACAAAACGAATCAATTATTAACAGAGTGAATGTAAGAATATTCTTCCCGGAATATCTCATCGAGAATCATGTCGTGGGTTCCACCGGACCTGGCGAATCTCTGTTCGCCTCACTCGAGAGTGTCGACTTGTCAGCCGCCCACGTTTATGTTCCTAGCATTGGTCGCTCAGTTGTTCGGTCACTCCGAGGACTCGTATTATTACCCATCCTCCCATAACTTGCACTTTTCAAGTTCGTCATGGGAATCGGATGCTCAAGAACCGGAATATGAACTGCAATGTTTCGGAGGACAGAGGAACAGGAAATTCGCATTAGCAGAGGAGCCCGGATCGATAGAGGCTCACGTGGGGTTCGATACTGATCCGGTTTATTTGATCGGATCGAACAGCGAAACCGTTAAAACTGCGTCGACCATGAATTTCGCGGGAGTTTACGACGCCTACCCGAGAACTGGAGAACCGATCACTTCGTTCACCACACTTTACGACAGCTTTCTTCCTTCGCAAGGTAAAACGTCCATCGCGACGACTCACATGTTTCCAATGTGTACTTATAAAAGTCAGAAGAAACGACTTTCAAGAATAGTTTTCACCATTTCTTTCTGAGTCCCATAGAAACTTTTTATTACTTATCGAAAGTCATTAATCAAGACAGTCGTCGACAGTGGATAGAGCGAGAAATATTCAAGCATTTATATTCATTCATTCATGTTTTAATATCTTTAAAAATAATCAGCAATGTCGTATTTTATTTTTAAATTTGCTATATTCAAATCGAGTAACGTGATCAGTGATAGCAGGAATAATGTCAAGGTATCTGACTACAGGAAACATGGAATAGGGAACAAATAAGCTTGTCATCGTTTTTGTAACGTACTGTTTTGTAATAGAAGAGAAAGTACCGAACTAAACATTTACCTTCCTAGCAATTATTTAGTAAAATTCGATAGCTACGAATTAATTCTCCTTCTTTTTATTTTTTTTAGATTAAAGACTTCTCACTAACTCAGAATTCATGTTGAAATATCTTAAACTTCAGTTACTCCTCTGATTTAATAATAAAAAATAATGTAATTAATAGACCGCGGTTTTTATTTATTTATAGGAAAAAACGTAAATTTGATTTCAGATGCAATTAGCTCGGTTCGAGGAACGCTACGTCAATTATCGAATGCTTTTCCATACTACGACGACCAAGGCTACGTGCGAGTTCAGCGAGAGACCGATCCCTCCATTCCCTTGTTCAACGTCTGGAAAGATAGCAATCATTTCGCGGACTATTCTTATCTCTTATATCCAAAAGCGACACAGATCACGCGTGCCGCTATCAATTTTCCTACAGCAACGAACTTGCCAACGAATGAATACGATTTTATCATTGTGGGAGCTGGATCAGCTGGGTGTGTTCTGGCAAACAGGCTCACTGAGATAAAACGATGGAAGGTAATCGCTCTGATCTCCCCTTTTTAAATTACATTCCATAAAAAAGTTTTAAGAATTTTTTTATGAAGGAATTATATAGGGAATCTTAATCTCTATTCGATTTTTTCATTGTCATTGGTACTTTGTGATCCAATAAGCTACTTTACGTGCGTGCGATACGCGTATCATGGCCTGTTTAATCGGTGGGAAGCCATAGAACGTTCGCAACATAATCATCGCCGATATTTTGTTCCGTGACCCGTTTCAAAGAAGCCCGATGGCATTGCCCGACTTCACAACCAAAGGATCATCCGATTTCTTTTACCTTCTTTCATCAAACAATTGCTGACATCCCGTATTAATTATTCACAAGCTGTTTCGAGTTATACAAACATGAGAATTATTCCAGAGATCGTTCATTTGAATTTTTAGTTGAAATTAAATGCAAAACTTTATCAAATCGAACGCAACATTTATTATTATGTTACGATCATTATTGCTCATTTATGTGCACAATATATGTGCTTATTTACCTACAGTTTATCTCGACTGAAACAACTTACTGATAGTAATTTCTAATCACTATCGGTGTAACATTTTCCATTCACTTGCACGAGGTTCGAGTTTCGCCTCGCGTACACCTAATTTGTAAAAGTCATAGTTTTCCTAACAACCGAACGTTACTCATTGCTCGACAATGTACCGTCGTACTGACAAAACTCTGGCAAATTCCTATTTCCACGCGTCGCAAAAACGCATTCCTTCGGTTTTTACTACATTTACAGAGAAACTTCAAGCGAGCCTTCAATGTTGAGCCATGCAAATAAAAATTGCTAGCCCCACAAACTTTCAAATCTAATTAATTTGAAAAATTACTGATTTGAAGAAATTTGTAAATTTTATAAAAAAAATAGGAAGAAGCATTTTTTTGAATAGCAGACTAACTAATAATTTGATATAAATCTGCATATAACATTTTATTGGTAATTTTTATTACCAAAGAAACTCACATACTAAGTAGACATG